ATAAATGGGGCCCACAACTTATTTATCCAATCTAACATTATGTATCCACCTTTATTCGGCCATCCAAACACCCTATTTCTGTTCTTTAGCTCACAAACCCTAGAATTGGATGACTAAGTGGATTATATTAGGACCAACGCTAACCCTAAGAAGGGGGAGATAATTACAATAACAGCCTCACTATTTGCACCGATTTGAGGAGGTTACCCTCCAAATTTCAAAAATTGTAATGTGCCCTCTCAAGTTTAATGTTGAAATTTAGATGTCAACTTTATCGTGATGAGCTGGTATAAATTATAAACTATGTGTGATTATAACAAGAGTAAATTATATTTTTGTCCCCTTAACTATGACTCTTTTTAAATATTGTCCCTTAAATATCATTTATTTTACACCATACACTTGACCATGTGATTAGTTTCACACCGTCTCAACGATTAACATTCGTTATAAATTTAAAAAAAATTGTTTTACTTTTTTTGTTTCCGAAAAATGTGATTTTTTTTACTTTATCCAAAACTTAACAATTTCTATCAAAAAGAAGGCAATCGTTTGTATTTTGTGTAATGTAAAATAATTTAAATAATTTAAGAGATAATGTCAAAACTCAAGGGACAAAAGAAAATCGAGTCCATAAATTCAACGACAAAGAAATATAAAAAAAAGAATCCTCAATCTTCAACCAAGTCATGGTTTGGCCCCCTAATTGTCTACCCGACCCGAATTTGACCCGACTGAATGCCTAACTCTTTCCTAAAAAAAGGTTAGATGATACCATTTGGCCCAAGGGTGGACATGGATACAATTTTTGTTATTATTTAATGTCGACATTCTCTCACACATCTCGATGGACCCTAGGCCTTAAAAACGACCCATGGGTTGCAACCTTTGCCAACTAGCCCACACTTCATGGAAGAAAAATAGATCTTACATCGATTTGAAAATAAACTTTTCATTTTACTTGGGAGAATCTCACATTGCATTATGAAAGATTTAAGTTTTTTTATTTTATACTTTCAAAAATAAAATTTTTTACATTATACCTTCAATGTAATAAAAATATTGTAATATGGTACTTCCGTTATCTTTAGTTGCTTATTTCGTCAAAATTATTTTATTGAAATTGACGGAATGAGTAGCTAAAATTAACATCAAAACTGTATTACAATAACTTTTAATACATTGAAGGAAAAATATGAAAAATTTAATTTTTGAAGTTATAAAATAAGAAATATTAAATCTTTAAAGGTACAAAATATAATTTACCCTTTTCCTTGACCTAAATCGCGCCGAATAAAGACATCACCAAATCTTCCCCTCTGCCTACCGGATCTTCTCCCATGTGCTTTCCAAATTCAAATACTTCTCTCTCTCTCTCCTCTGCTTTCCAAATCCAAATACTTCTCTCTTCTCTGCTCTCTCTCTCTTCTCTGCTTTCCTAATTCAATTAGACCTCACACCCAAATATTCTCCCTCACACCCAATTCAATTGTTTCTCTCTCTCTCTCTCTGTGCCCAACACCCTTCTTTCTTCACCCGCCCCTCTTCTCTCTCCCTCTTCTTCTCTTCTCCTCTCCCTCACTTCTCTCTTCTTTCTTCACCTTTTTCAACAACACAGACACTATTCCCCTCTCTTCTCTTCTTCCTCAACTCTCTTCACCGTATCGGCCGCCACTCACAGCTCACCAACACCCACCAACATCTACGATATCTTTCCGCTCTCCCCTATTTCTCTCGCCACCCCTCTCTTCTCTTCTCTTCTCTCTCATCATTCTCCGCATCCTCTGTCTCATCACTGCCTCACCATAACGAAACTGCTACGATGTCCTTTCACGCACCGCCATCGACGCTGCCCAGGTATGTCTCCCTCTCCCTCTCCCCTCTCTCTGCTCCTTTCCTATCTCTGTGGCTCAGCGGCTTCT